AGAATGAGAGAATGAGAGGAGGAGCAGAAGGAGAGGGAGAGAGAAAATTTTAAGCAGATTCCCCATGAGCACAGAGTCTGACACAGGGATCAATCCCAGGACCCTGAGATCATGACCTGAGCAGAAATTGTTTGGACGCATAACCTACTGAGTCACCCAGGTACCCAATCCTTGGCCCAAATTTTAATCAGGGGATTTGTTTATTGTTATTAATGTGTTTTTAATAATTTCTGTTGAGGTTAAAAAGTCCCTTCTGTATTTTGAATATTAACTCTTCTCAGTACATGGTTGAACACACTGTCTCCCATTTCATTGGCTGCCTCTTGACCTGTCAATATTTGCTCTGCACACTTTCTAGTTTGATGGAGTCCCACTTGTCTGCCTTTTCTCTTGCTGTCTGTGATTTTGTTTCTATAGCAAATAAACCATAGCCGAGCAAATGTCATGATGTTTTTCCCCTTTGTTTTCTTCTAGGGGTTTTGGGGTCAAGTCTTTTGCTTACATCCCTAATCCATTTTGAGATTTCCTGGATCTGCATATGTGCATGCTATAAGATAAGGACCAAATATCATTATTTTATATGTGGATATCCAACACCATTTGTTATAGACACTATCATTTCCCCATTGCATTTTCTTAGATAACTTGTGGGGAATATGCTGACTGTATATGCATACGTTTACTTTTTGTTCCCATAATCCACTGCACTATCTATAAGTCTGTTTTTATGCCATTTATAGACCATTGTAGTAAATCTGCAATATATTTATAAAGAAGGAATATGATGTCTACAAGAGTGGTCTTCCGTCTCATGATTGTATTGTCACAGTCATATGCTTTGTATTTCCATATGTATAAGGATTTTTTTCTATTTTTGTAAACAGATCATTGGTATTTTTATTGATTCAATTAATGTTAAAATTATTAGAACATAAAAAAAGAAATTGAGATTATGCAAATACAAAAACTCAAGGAGATTGAAATTGTTATTGGGAAAAAATAAATGAAATTAAAATCATAGTTAGACTAGGAAAATAGGTAAAACTCAAATAAATACAATCAGAATTCAAAGAGAAGTAACTGACAAAAAATAAATGAAAAGGACCATTAAGAAAATACTAAGATATTTATAGAGCAACATTGGGATAACAAAAGGCAAATTACAAAATTTCTAGAATCATCAATCCATGAAGACTGTTTCAAGAAGAAATAGAAAATGAACAGAACAAAACTAATAAGAAGACTAAATCCATAATCTCAAGCCTTCTCTCTCAAAAACAAAAACAAAACAGACAAAGAGTCCAGGATCAGATTGCTTTACCTATGAACTCCACCAAATGTTTAAAGAAGAAAAAGACCAATATTTCTGTCTGTTCCAAAAAAAAACTGATGAGAAAGGAACATGCCCAAATTCATTGTATGAGGCCAGCATTACTCCGACACCAAAGCCAGACAAGAACCCCATGAGAACAGAAAGTTCAGGCCAATATCTGAGGTGAACATACATGCAAAAATCCTGGGATACTGCATGAACAGCACAATGAAACGATCATACATGATAACCTAGTGTGAATCATCCCTCAGATGAAAGGATCCTGCAACATACACAGGTCAATAAATGGGACACTCTGCATTAACAGAGTGAAGGATTGAATCTACATAATCCTCTCCATTAATCAAATTTAAAAGTCTCAGCAATCGAGGAACAGTAGGAATTGCCTCTGCATAATCATGGCCATATATGAAAACCCCACACCTGACACCATATTCAAGAGTGAAAGCCTGAAGCCTTTCCTGTCACATCAGGAGCCAGACAAGGATGCTCACTCCCACAATGAGTATTCAACATGGTATCATGAGGGAGAATAAGATGTGCCACCCCAAATATGTCATCTGGCCCCTGGGTTATTGTGAACTAAAGTCACTTTAGAACCTGCCAGTGGAAGGCCCCGCTGAGCCTCCTTTCTCCCCCTGACATCAGGAAATAAATCTCCCATGGGAAAGTTCCCTTCCCTGTACCAGGAGAGGAGAACCACCCTCAGCCCCAGAATAAGGAACTTAGTGCCCAGACGGCTGTGTGAACAAACCTTGTTAGTTCTTCCCTAATTTACTAACCCAAACCAAATCTTTGTGTTAAATCTTCACAAATCTAATGTTTTGTTGTCTAAGAAGCACAAGTGCTGCCAACTTTGGTCATTTTCTGGGTGTCATATTTTGGGTAGCTTATGCACATGCAAAATGAAATTCATTTTCCACTTAGATCTCTCCTACGTCTACAGAGTTATTCAACCCGACAAAGAACACAGAAGAAAAGAAGGGAAACATTTCTACGTTGACAACTTAAAGACCTACCCAGAGAAAGTAAGCAATTAAAAAATAAAGTAAAATCGGTAAACAGGAAGAAAAATTATCTGTTTGCATAAAACATGTTCTTATAAATAGTCAAACCCTACAAATTACACACACACACACACACACACATACACACACACACAAAGATGTGGGTCATCTTTGTACTAAATAATCATTTCTGGGAAACTTCAGGTATAAAATCAACATACAAAATAAAGCTATGTTTCCACACAATAACAGCAAATCATTTAAAAAAGAAATTAACAAAATAATTCTATTTAAACTGTCACCAGAAATAAAATATTTTGGATGAAAATTCACCAAGGAGTTAAAATACTGTATACTAATAATAACCTACATTGATGAAAGATTTTTTAAAAAGGCACACAGAAATGCAAAGATAACTGTGTTCACAGATTAGAATACTTCATATTGTCACCGTGCCATCTAAACAAAGTGATCTGCAAACATAATGCAGTCTTTGTTTTTTTAACTAATAAAGTATGGAATCTAAGGCTGGAGCTGGCTATATAGTTAGAGGACATGTAAATAGGGCCCTCCTTCTACTGATTAAAGCAGCCCAGCCCAGAACCTGCAGCTGGGAGAGGAGCTCCAGCCCCGGGATTCCCAGGTGTTCCCATTCACTGATCAGGACAGAACACAGACAAGTCACTATGGAGTTTGTGTTTGGCTGGGTTTTCCTTGTTGCTCTTTTAAAAGGTAATTTATAGAGAACAAGAGACATTGAGTATGTGAGTGGGTACAAGTGAGAGAATCAGTGGATGTGTGACAGTTTCCTGACCAGGATGTCTTGTGTCTGCAGGTGTCCAGTGTGAGGTGCAGCTCGTGGAGTCTGGGGAAGACCTGCTGAAGCCTGGGGGGTCCCTGAGACTCTCCTGTGCAGCCTCTGGATTCACCTTCAGTAGCTACAGCATGAGCTGCGTCCGCCAGGCTCCAGGAAAGGGGCTGCAGTGGGTCTCACATATTTTAGCATTGGTGGTAGGACATACTGTGCAGACTCTATGAAGGGCCGATTCACCATCTCCAGAGACGACACCAAGAACATGCTGTATGTGCAGATGAACAGCTTGAAAGCCAAGGGCATGGCTGTGTATTACTGTGCAAGTGACACAGTGAGGGGACAACAGTGTAAGCCCAGACACAAACTTCACTGTAGACCACGATCTAGACCAGCAGGGAGTGCACACTACTTACCAATTCTCTCTTTGAGGCAGATGTAGATGCAGATGCAGGTTATGGGCAGGTTTCCTGTCAGGGTCTGGGGCTTCCTCTCCATAGAGAAGTTTTCCCCAGGGAGGCTGTCTGCACACATGATTCAATGTTTACCTATTCCCTCTCTTATTTGAAACATTGTTTTAATAGGAATACAACTATTCTAATATGCACAAAACACAGAGATACTTACATGTGACTAGTGTTGTCCATAACTATGAATGAATTACAAATATCCTGATTCTCATCAACTGAACATTTTCAAGAGTCTCACTGTGCATCACTGGACCACCTAACTCAAGGTGCAATGTTGCCGGAAGCAGCATAAAGTGCATGCTGGACATGAGACTACAGAGGCATCAACAATCAAATGCAAGGGAAAAACAAAACAAAACAAAACAAAACCACCACCACCAACAACAAAAAACCCTGGTGGGGTCACTGTCTTGAACCATGCTCACAGCTTCAATATTAGTGACAGACTGGGAAACCAGAGGGACCCCCACCAGGATGTGGTGTGGATGTGGGGTCTGAAGATCACACACACACACACACACACACACACACGAGTATAAAAACTTTATCAGCATCATCATCATATCTGTTGAGAGCAGGGCAGGCCTCTCAGCAAATCATAAATGCTTGGATAGGACCAGTGAAGGACACTGACTCCGGATGTGTGCTGTTGGTCAGTGGTATGGATAGAGTCCTGCTCATTTGAGGGGCTTATGTAGAGGCAATTCCCCACCTCCATCAAAAGAGGGAGAACCCATGGGTTCTTGTTAGATTTCCCATGTGTGGGGTGTGAGGAGAAGAGGGAGGAATGAGGATCAGGGAGCTAGTAGGCAATAATCAAAGGATATGGTGTGATGAATAATTCCACTAAACAATATGAACATTGGGAGAACAAGAGAGAAATGGCCATTTTAAGTAGACAATCATCTGAATCCTCATAAAATGTGTAGAATTTCACAGGGAAGCATCACAAATTATAGAATGAAACTAGAAATAGACTGAGGTCTTACCCAGTGTCTCAGGAGGAAGCTGTCCACTCCCCAAGATCACCAGCTGGTTCCGAAGGTCTGTGTTTGCCGTGTGCACACAGAGACCAGAAGCTTCTATTGGATCCATGAGAATCCTCAGGTTGAGGTGCTGGTTGGGGAGAACCTTCCACCAGCAGGGAATAACCAATTGATCATTCAGTTGCTGATATCAACTCAATGAGTGTGACCTCTACCATCACCATATTGAACATAACACTAATGTGATGGGACAAGGAGGTGGGACCTTAGAGAAGCATTTAGGTCAGGAGGGTGCAGCCTCATGATGGGATTAGTGCCCTTATACAGCAGGACTGCGAAAGCTCCCTGCCCCCTGACCCCATGTGAGGTGACAGGGAAAAGACAGACTAGGATGTGGGTGCTCTCCAGACATGAAATCTGCCTGAACCTTGACATGGGACTTCCCAGACCCCAGAACTGTGAGAAATGAGTGTCTATTGTTTAAAACCACCCAATCTGTGTACATTATTACAACAGCTGGAACAGACTAAGACATTAGTGACACATAAACAAAAGCACTGATGCTCCGGAGTTTCCCTGCTGCATTTGAAAGCACCTGATAAGTTCCTTCAATGTGGTTCAAGGCTGTTTTTTTTTTTCTTCTTCGACAATCCTTCCAGTAGATTGCATTTACCACTTTTTATTTATAATGCTTTATATTTATTTATTTATTTTAATTAACATATAATGTATTATTTGTTTCAGTGATACAGGTCAGTGATTCATCAGTCTTACACAATTCACAGAGCTCCCCAGAGTCCATACCCTCCCCATTGTCCATCACCCAGCCACCCCAACCATCCCACCACCCTCTACTCCAGCCACCCTTGGTTTGTTTCCTGAGATTAAGAGTCTCTTATGGTTTGTCTCCCTCTCTGGTGTCATCTTTGAAAGTCACAGGAATCTCTCAAATAATTACAATGGAAAGGCAGCCTCAGTCTATAGGTGATAGGAGTGGATATGATGCCTGAATCCATTTAAAAATGCTCTCACATGTGATTGTCATAGGGCAAAGACTAGGATTGTTGAAATATGTCCAAATGCATGGCCCCACCAGGTCTCACATTACACGGAGATAAGTGATGTGCTCTTGAGTCCATGGACCATAAGCACATAGTACCAGCGGGAGTAACTTTGGACAATGGAGTCCATGTGTCTCTGAGAATTTGTGTAACTTTACTTTAAGGAAGCTGTTTTCTCAACCTTTCCAGAAGACTGTGGATGTGATGACCATGTGGTATTTGAATCTGAGCCACATTGTGCACAACTGTCCCACCATGACATCTGTCAGGTGTGTGCCTCAGTCACTGGATATAAAAGCTGGTACAATTCAGGTTAGAAACAAATCAAGATTTTCATTAACTGGAAGGGCTGGAGGCTTTGGTCCAGGGATGACTTAATAACATGAGAAAATACATATACAAGAAATAAAACATATCCACATCAGATGGAGGGTGGACATGGGATAAAGTCCATGTATGTGTGTTCAAAAGGCCCTTGCGGACTGTCTTCTGGGCATGTCCCACCTGACAGGTTCCCCAGGACTTTACTGCTGCTGGTGACACATGAGCAGGAAATATCCCCACTCTCTTTGTGAACTTTCCTCACAAGTATTGACTCAAGGTCATAACCAATTTGTCTATACCCTGCAGTGTACTGTATAGAAAATTTAAATAATGGGCTTTGAAATCACGTGGTGCCACCACGCAGCTGAGAGACTGCAGAGGGTCTAAAAGAAATGACAGCCAGAGTTTTCAATGTCTTGATGTAAAATCCACTTAATGTCATTTCCCAACCTCAGGTGGTCCCCATCATGTATGGACATGGTGACAGCATTCCCAAAGGCCACACACAGACCTGAACAGGCACTGGGAGAATGGAGTGATTCTCCTGAAAGAAACTCCTGAAGAATCAGGAAAGTCCCAGCAAACCCTCTCCTGCCTCCCTGATTAGAACTTCCTCACGTCCACAGAGACACAAATCTCAGAAGGGAAATAAGAAAGTTTCCTCAAGGTTGACCTTATTTCCAAGTAGAAGTAGATCCATCAGCTCCCATAATGGACAGGGATTCCTGTTATTCAGTGGTTTGGTATTCAATTGTTAAAAGTGATACTTTCTTTGTTGTATTAAAGTGCTATTCCATGTTATCATATATGGGCATCAAGCTTTTCTAAAACATGCCCTTAAACTTATTACTGCCAAATCCTTATGTGCATCTTCAGAGAAAAAATTCCTAGTTCTAATTATATTTTAATTATATTCTCATGTTTGAAGTTGAGTTTTCAAACACACCTACATAATTTAGGAACTCAACAGGGAATAGAAACTCCTCAATTGATGTAAATTTGTTCCTCTGCATTTCTTCAAGTTCCTTGTTGTGGAAAGCACATAAATAATACCTTCTCTGAGGTCCACATCTACATGTCCAGGTAGAAAAGCAACTTTACTGTGATACCAAAAACTGGAAACAATTACAAACCAAACAACCACTGAAAAAGTCAATTTATACTATATTCAATCTATGGTAAGCTTCTGATCATTGAAATCCATGATTCTTTATACAAACAGCAATATGGTTGTAGTCCCAAAAATTTCTCCTGTGGAAAATATGCCCTAAAATTAAAAGTACACAGAATACAACTACACATGTGTAAAGTCCATAAAAGAAAAAAAAACTATTCTGAAGAAACTGACAAAGATAAAAGTTTTAGGGTGACAGAGTGAAGAAGGAAGGAGGTGAGGAAGAACTTCTAAGGGAAGTACATAAAAATTTTAGGGAGAATTGATTTTCTCACTCTGGATAATGCTGATTCTGACATGAGTGTTTAGCATATCATACACTCAGCAGGCGTGCAGTTCATCCTGTATCAAGTACATGCATCACAGCTAATACAGATAATCACAGAGATGATTCAGGAGGAACACATCCATACTGAAATGTCAGAGACTTGAAACTGGATCAGTTTCTTACACCATACACAAAGATAACTTCAAATGGATGAAAGACCTAAATGTGAGACAGGAATCCATCAAAATCCTAGAAGAGAACACTAGCAGCAACCTCTTCAACCTCGGCCACAGCATCTTCTTGCTAGACTGTCTCCAAAGGCAAGAGAAGCAAAAGCAAAAATGAACTATTGGGATTTCATCAAGATAAAAAGCTTATGTACAGCAAAGGAAATAGTCAACAAAACTAAAAGGCAACCTGCAGAATGGGAGAAGATATTTGCAAATATATTATCAGATAAAGGGCTAGTATCCAAAATCTATAAAGAATGCATCAAACTCAACCCTCAAAAAAAAAAAAAAATCCAGTCAAGAAATTGTTGGAAGACATGAACAAAAATTTATCCAAAGAAGACATACAAATGGCCAACAGACACATGAAAAAAAAAAATGCTCCACATCACTTGGATTCAAATCAAATCAAAGAAATACAAATCAAAACTACATGAGATAACACCTCAAACCAGTCAGAATGGCTAAAACTAATATGGTAGGAAAACACAGATGTTGGCCAGGATGCAGAGAAAGGAGAATCCTCTTGCTCTGTTGGTGGGAATGCAAACTGGTGCAGCCATTCTGGAAACAATATGTTTACACATATCCCAGAGCTCAGGATACCTGGGAAGCAAGACCCTGGGATGACAGGTAGTGGAAGCAGCAAGCCCTGGAGGGGAGAAGGAATCTGGTTACTTGGAGTCCTCAGGGTCCTCTGACCAGAGCTCCCAGCCCCAGGGGCAGCTGCAGAGAGAGGCTGGGAATTGACGTGTTTCCTGTAGGGCTCTGCACTTTCTATTGCTTATCCATGCTTATGGGCCCTCCTATTTTCCTGCCTGTGATTCTCAATTTCCCTTATAACTTCACACTTTGCGGAAATGGTTCAAGTACTTCTGAGCCATCAACAATTCAATAATTGGAAGATGCTGAATAATACAAATGATCTTATTTTACTTCCTCTCCATTTAAAGATGCATTCTTCTATGTAATGACTTAGGTTTCAAAGGCATATTCCATGAGCTGTTATAAAGGAATATTTGCCCCAGAGCCTTAGACAAAATTACAGAACAACCAATATCTACAAGCAGACATCTGCTACCCTATGTGGAAGCTGTAGTTATTCAGAAAAAAAATGAAGAGCATAAATGCTTACTTGGCATATGCAAAAGTTGGCATCAAAATATTCTTTCAGTATGAAAACATGTTTATTTTAATACTGACAATTAAGGATATTTCCATTCTATGTGTTCATAATGGTACAAATTCCTCTTTAGTGTCTTTTAAAATAATATAAAATTATCTAAGTATCCATCAATCATCTATCTGTTATCTAGTCATCTGATCTCTATTTGAAGTCTATTCATTTAACTCAGCATTAATCCTATTGACACAAGTCTTTCAGGGCATGAATGTAATCTCTGCAATGTCTTATTAGACCTCTTGTGTTTAGATCCTAATAATCTCCAGGTCAGCCATTACATTTCCTTCAAGGTGGTATTTGAGTGTGATTAACCCCACGCCTGAGTTAGTGATGATCAGGCATTTTATCAGAGAAATGTTACCCACTTTTCTGTAAAGCAAGCCCCTCCTCACAGAGGTAACAGCCTCCTGTTTGAGGTAGATTTCTCAGGTCTTTCATCCATTTAGTGTTTATTTTTGTGTACTGTGTAGGAAATAGTCCTAGAAGGGAGGCACCCTCCAAGCATAGGAATGGTATCTGCAGATACAATTCATCTAGCTCAGCATTTATCCTATTGGCACAAGCCTATCAGGGTTATGAACATAGTCTTTGCAACCTTTTATTAGGAACCTAATGTTTAGATCCTAATAATCTCCAGGTCAGTCACTCCATTTCTTTCAAGATGTTTATTTGAATCTCATTAACTTCATGACTGAGTTAGTGATGATCTCTCTGTTGTGTCAGAGAAAATTTATCCACTTTTCTATAAAGCAATACCCTCCTTCCCAGAGTTAATAGGCCCCTGTTTGAGGTGGATTTCTCAGGAAAAGAGAGCTCACTCCAAGCATAGGAATTGTATCTGAGGATCACAGAGTGAATGTCTTGTGTTAGTGTCTGTGCACTTGAGGATGTAGGTACCACTTCCAGGCTTTGCAGACATCTTGGCAGACAAATCCCATCAGCACTGACCATCAGGATTAAAGGACTCCAGGTGTGCCTATACTGTGTAGGTGTTTGTTCACATGAATTCCAATACATCAGTGTGGAAACTAAAAGAACTATGATCTTGGGACCCATCAGCCTTTAATTATCATTCCATTTACACCAGAGTTGACAACAATATATAATTTTTCTATGCAGTTATGTCTGGGATGACTTTTAATATTGAGTATTTAAAGATTAGGTTTGGAAAGTTGTCTGCACAAAATGTGGATCCCATTAAATATCTTTTTGAAAAAATAGGTTAGATTAAAATAAATTGTGATCTATGCATTCGTTCAACATTTATTCTTATGCTACCATTTGCATCGACATGGATGGAACTGGAGGGGATTATGCTAAGTGAAATAAATCAAACAGAGAAAGACTATTATATGGTTTCACTCATATGTGGAACAGAAGGAATATTGCAGAGAATAATAGCAGAAGAAAGGGAAAACTGAATGGGAAGAAAGCAGAGAGGGAGAGAAATCATATGAAACTCTTGACTCTGGGATACAAACTGAGGGTTGGGGAAAGGGAGGTGGGTGGGAGGATGGTGTA